ATTAGGCCCCATCATGATTGTCAGCACCAGGCCCACTGTGCTCTTAATCTGGCCCTGATTCCCAGGACACTAGAGGGAATCCTTGTTTGGGACTGCTGCCTCTCTGACTAGCCCTGACTCAACCCCCCGCTTTGTTATGTGTGTGTAACTGTCTGCCTGTAACTGTGTGTGTGCGTGCGTAACGGTCTGTCTGTAACTGTATGTGTGTGCGTAACTATGTGTATGACTGTCTGCTTGTAACAGTGTGCGTGACTGTGTGTAACTGCTTTTAACTGACTCTGTGTGTGTGTGTAACTCTCTACCTGTAACTGTGTGTATGACTGCCTGTGACTATGTGTGACTGTCTGCATGTGACTGTGTGCGTGTGACTGTCTGCTTGTAACTGTGTGTGAGGGAGTGCAGGGATTTTGTAGAAGGGGGCAGAGGTTTGAAAACATTTACAAATTTGTTCAATACATTTTTTTGGGGGGGGGGAGTGCCACATGCTCTAAGTACGCCCCTGGCTCAGTGACACAAAGCAGCACACTGTATAACGTAAAACTGTAAATTTATGTTATGAAGTTGCTGTAAATCCAAGATTGGGCTGTTACTCTTCAATTACAGCAATCTGAGTAAAGGCAATCAGATGAAAAACCAAAATACACACCTTCTTATGGTTTGGACTTGTAGAAGAATGCAGTTCAATGCAGATTCGGACAGTCAGGCATCTGTTGAAGCAAATATTTAAAGTTGAGAGGTTTTTTTTATACCACACAGATTCTACAAAATGTCAAGTATTACATCTGGGTAGAAAAAGTCAATGGCATACTGATCTTTGTCCATTTATAAAATGTATATTTTACAAATATTTTTAAATAAATAACAGAAAGCACACAGATATAAAGCAATATTTTTTTCAGTGTGTTAACTGCACATAATCATTGCACATACAGTTGCAAGAAAAAGTATGTGAACCCTTTGGAATGATATGGATTTCTGCACAAATTGGTCATAAAATGTGATCTGATCATCATCTAAGTCACAACAATAGACAATCACAGTCTGCTTATACTAATAACACACAAAGAATTAAATGTTGCCATGTTTTTATTGAACACACCATGTAAACATTCACAGTGCAGGTGGAAAAAGTATGAGAACCCCGGGACTAATGACATCTCCAAGAGCTAATTGGAGTGAGATGTCAGCCAACTGGAGTCCAATCAATGAGATGAGATTGGAGGTGTTGGTTACAGTTGTCCTGCCCTATAAAAAACACACACCGGTTCTGGGTTTGCTTTTCACAAGAAGCATTGCCTGATGTGAATGATGCCTCGCACAAAAGAGCTCTCAGAAGACCTATGATTAAGAATTGTTGACTTGCATAAAGCTGGAAAGGTTTATAAAAGTATCTCCAAAAGCCTTGCTGTTCATCAGTCCACGGTAAGACAAATGGTCTATAAATGGAGAAAGTTCAGCACTGCTGCTACTCTCCCTAGGAGTGGCCGTCCTGTAAAGATGACTGCAAGAGCACAGCGCAGACTGCTCAATGAGGTGAAAATCCTAGAAAAATCCTAGAGTGTCAGCTAAAGACTTACAAAAGTCACTGGCAAATGCTAACATCCCTGTTAGCGAATCTACAATACGTAAAACCCTAAACAAGAATGGATTTCATGGGAGGATACCACAGAGGAAGCCACTGCTGTCCAAACAAAACATTGCTGCACGTTTCCAGTTTGCACAAGAGCACCTGGATGTTCCACAGCAGTACTGGCAAACTATTCTGTGGACAGATGAAACCAAAGTTGAGTTGTTTGGAAGAAAAACACAACACTATGTGTGGCAAAACAAAGGCACAGCACACCAACATCAAAACCTCATCCCAACTGTGATGTATGGTGGTGGGGGCATCATGGTTTGGGGCTGCTTTGCTGCATCAGGGCCTGGACGGATTGCTATCATCGAAGGAAAAATTAATTCCCAAGTTTATCAAGACATTTTTCAGGAGAACTTAAGGCCATCTGTCTACCAGCTGAAGTTCAACAGAAGATAGGTGTTGCAACAGGACAATGACCCAAAGCACAGAAGTAAATCAACAACAGAATGGCTTAAACAGCAGAAAATACGCCTTCTGAAGTGGCCTCAACCCGAGTGAGATGCTGTGACATGACCTCAAGAAAGCGATTCACACCAGACAAGGGTTCACATACTTTTTTTGCAACTAGTTACAACACATAGCAAGTAATGTTAGATTATGGAAGCTAGTAAAGTATGTATGACATTTGTGGTGGACTAGCTCTATCATTTATCTCTACTGGTCTGAACCAAGTTTTTGGAGAGCCGTTTTGGAGGTACTTTAACCATAGGACTACCAGCTCCCAACCAAACCTAGTTCATAAGGAGAGTTGCTTCTGGTGGATCTGAACTTGTTATGTACTCAAATTCAAATAAAACAAATAATAAAATGTGAATGTGTGGAACAATGTGTTACCAGCCCCCCTCCAATCTTACAGGAAATGTGTTTTACTCACCTTTTTACCCATGCTGTGCTGGTTTTGCAATCTTGATAAACTCAGCCAATTTAATGCTTTCCCATAGGAAAGCACTAGGAGGCTATTGTGCATGCGTGGCAGAAATGCCATGCTGTGCCAAACAGTTTCTCGTCATAGACTGCATTAAATCAATGCATCTCTACGGGGAACTATCACCCCTTCCATGTACAGGGTGGAGATGCTGAACTTAAGTGCTGCACGGTTTGACTAATTGACTAGGAAGCACCGCTAGCGGACGTCTGAGTGACTGCCACTAAAGTTGTAACTAGGCAGCAATGTAAACATTGCCTTTTCTCTTAACATTAAAAAGTCTGCAGGGACAGGCTATAGACACCAGAACTACTACATTAAAGCGGCACTGTCACCATTTGGTGACTTTACTGAATGTGCAAAAATCCTTAACTGTGACATCGCCGCTGGCGGTCTCCTCATCGGGGAGCTGGTAAAGAGGAGATATACTTACCTGAACCTATCCCTCGCAAGCACGGCCATCTTCCTTGGTCTACTCCTCTTTGTGCCAGAAGCCAACATCACTGCTGCATTCTTGCGCATGCAAGGGTCTCCATAGACAGAGCCAATTACCTGCACCCGTCACTGGTGACGGATGTCAAGATTGACACGGACTCCGCTATGAGTCTAAGAAAGTCAGGTGAGAAGAAATACAGGACAAGAAATTACTGACATGCACCACTTTATGGTAACCTAATAAATTACCTCTCCTCAAGGTCTGGGCTCCTCAGCAGGACTTTTATTTCTCGATTTAGGAGTTCCTGAACGTGAGACATCTTCACTCGTCTCTGTTCCCGTGTATCTCAAATACTTTTACAACTCTCTTGCAGACATCCTAACGCACCTCCAATCCTTGTCAAAAAAGTCACCCATTCAAAATTTCCTCTGACTTATTACTCATGTCTGGATTACTCCTTTCCAGACTCATTGTGCATTTTGCTCCCTAAATTATCCTTTCCTTATATTAATTATCCTTTATGGATTTATTTCCATCCACTTTTAAAGATTAGACACAATCAGTTCTGCTCACAGTGTCCCATTCACACTGTGCCAACTTCTAAACAGCCAGCTGTACTTACACTGTCCCTTTAATTATGTCTACACTTCTAAACAGCCAGCTGTACTTACACCGTCCCTTTAATTCTGTGCCCCACACTGCACCTTTCACTCTGTGCCCACCTCTAAACAGGCAGCTGTAACCACACTGTCACTTTAATTCAGTGCCTACACTGCCTATTTAATTCTGTGCCCACCTCTACATCCAGCTGTACCCACACTGTCCCTTACACTCTGTGCCCACCTCTACATTCAGCTGTACCCACACTGTCCCTTACACTCTGTGCCCGCCTCCAGCTGTACCCACACTGTCCCTTACACTCTGTGCCCGCCTCCAGCTGTACCCACACTGTCCCTTACACTATGTGCCCACCTCCAGCTGTACCCACACTGTCCCTTACACACTGTGCCCGCCTCCTGCTGTACCCACACTGTCCCTTACACTCTGTACCCACACTGTCCCTTACACTCTGTACCCACACTGTCCCTTACACTCTGTGCCCGCC